ATATATACACATATATATACACACACACACACATATATATATATATATATATAAAATAAAGGTGATAATTTTAGTTAAAAAAAAGAGAAATATGGAACATGGCTTTAATATTACAAAGCAACTCAGTACATGGCATGAAATTGCAGAGCACAGCCATCATCCATTCAAAGCAGCAGCATTCCTAAAAGATTTTGCTGTGTGTCCTTTAGGACATGAAATGAGGTTTAGACACCAAATCACGCTAATAAATTAACAAATAACAATACAACCGCATTCAGGGCAGAGCAAATCATTTATTTCTGAAATGTTTTTCAGAAGTGCATGAACTTTTAATGATATTGCATCTTGATTTTTTTAAACACATTTGCCAATTCGGTATTATTCCAAAGTGCCATAAATAACTATGGCAAGAACTCACATTGGCCCAGAGCTATAAGCAAAGACTGCCTAGTACAGTGTATAAGACATTGGTAAGTGGGTGTAGACAAGACATTCTCCAGACTTCATTGTTGTTAGGCTCATTAGTCCTAACCCAAATCTGCATGAATCTGGGTAAAATAAGTTTTCAGCCATTAATACTTCAACAAGTTTTAATATTACTGACCACGTGTTTAGTGACAAGTTGAACAATAAAAGAGCCTGCCCTGTTGTCCAGTTGAACACTTACGTTCCCTCCGGACATCAACCCTGCAGCCTGTCCACTTGTGAGAGGATGATGAGGTGCCATAGTGATGGTTCACATAAAGTTCTCATCTTCAAATACTTTAAACTTTGCTTAGTTCAATCTCTTGCCAGAAACGATGTCTGGAAACTCGTTTATTGCAAATGGCTAGCTTCATGCAGTGAGTGACTTTTTCAACAGGGTCTGAGATGGAATTAAAAGTGACTTGAATAACTCACTAACTTGAGTTATTCCCTTGGTGAAGGTGTTTCTGGAGGTTCTCTCTTGGACTTCAGGCTCTCCTGCATGTTCTCCTCTGACAGTTTCAGAGCTTGAACTACAACCTCTGTGTAACTGCCTCCTGAATCTCTCTTGAGTCCCAAACTTCCTTTCAAGTTAAGCCATGTGTATTTCCAGTGCCTAGTGCTTAACAGCATCTCTCTCTCCTGTAACACTGCCATCCACTATTGACCATGCTTAGGTCTCTTTCAGCTGTTTTTTGTTTTTGTTAATCCATCTTCAAGCCTATATCCCATTTCAGCCACCACCTCTCTCCTTCTTTGTCATCTAAAATGCTCAAAGAATTAATATTTATTGTCCAAATTTCCTCACTTGCTGTTTACTCTTGTGGCCACTGCAATTTGGCGCCCACTTCTGTCAATTGTACCAAAACAGCTTTTGCTGTGGTTCCCCACGACCTCCATGTTGCGACATCCAAGTGACATTTCCCAGACCTCATTGGAATGACATCTCAGAGTCATCTGAGAGAGTCTCAGTTAGCCACTCCCATCTGCTTCAAGCACTCTCTTCCTCTGACTTCTCTTTCTCCTTCTCTGGCCATTCCTCCTCTTTCTGTAAGCTCTGATCTCACACCCACTTTCTCCCCACATGCCGGAAGCCAATTCCAGCCTGTCAGCAAGGGCTGAATCATCTGGAGTGGCAAGGGCATTTCCCCAAACCTGAAAAGGGATGATTGCTTGCTGCCAGACAGTTCAGGGCATCTTAATCTACATGTTATTGCCTCCTACTGGCCAAACATCTGAACAGCCATAGACAAATTCTTCCAATCTGACAGTGGACTCTGTATAGGAAACCTGACCCTTTGAAGTGTATATCTCCACTTTACCTTAGGACAAATTGTGTTAATAAAAAGCAAGGGGTCCTGAGATGAGGAGATCTTAGTTTCTTTAGCTAAACTCCTCTGACTCCCAAATGCCTTTCAAAATTATGCTTCGTCTCTGGACTCTTATTTAAGTTACACACAGCCCTTCTCCAGATTGCTGAACCCTTCTAGATGCCGGAACAAGAACCCCGGCACCCACAATGTCACCCACACACATGGCATCAGTCGCCAGCCCTACACATGTGACTTACTGGTACATTTTTAAATAGCAAACATAGACCTTTCCTCGTAGCTCCAGACCTTTGTAAATCTTCTTTAGGGCCCATAATGAAACCTGATATCACTTTTTAGGTGGCAATTGGCAGACAAAACTGCCTAATTTTTGCTGTAAAACATGGTTGCTTCACAAAGGTTCAAACATAAAATAATCTTCAAAATAAAATACAAATTTTATCAAGACTATATGCGTTACATCAGTAGAAAAAAAGGGAAACATGAGTTTCAGGGCTATTCAAACTGAAATACTACTGCAACATGAACTATAAACTGTAACAACCAACAAATACTTATAAGATTAGAAAGTACAAATTTACTCCTGCCCCTGTAAAAACATAATCACAGCATAAGTAATACTAACACAGCTGTATCTCTCTATATGTATAAATATTACCCTTTTCTCACGAGGGTAGCCCAGCATCTAGAACAGCACCTGAACACAGTCAGGAATGGATTATTACCTGCTGAATAAATGAGTGGATTAAAGCACCTGAGCAAAAATTACTCTGTACATAATTATACAAATACTGCCTCTTTTTTAAAATAATATACGCCTTACAAAGACTATTCCCGAATCATCCAAAAACACTTGAAGAAAATTGTATTTGGTAGAAAAGTAAAAATCTTTTCCTTTCAGGGAAAATATACTAAAATATAATAAAATCATTTTTTTATGGGACTACTGAAAGGAGTTTTAGGGGTAAAATGGGCAGGTTTAGGGAGCTTTAGGAATTAGGGGGTCCATGGGGGAGGAAGGCATAGTTGGTTGGGGGCTTGGAGCTGCCAAAAGGCATACATTCACAAAGAACAAAAGGTGCCACAGGATAAGGGGAGAGGAAGACATCCATTCACAGAAGATATGGAGAAGCCACAGGGTATGGGGAGAAAGAGGAAAACAGGTTTTCACAGGAGACAGAGAATTCTACCACTGAAGGGGGAGCAAGAGAGTGGGCACCACGTGGGATTTACACTTTGAAGATGATATTCTACCAATTGGAAGGCAGCACTAAGAAACAAAGCCTGCAGCCTTTATGAACCTTAGGAAAGGGAGCTTAGTGGGCTACCCTCTAAGTCTGTACTAGTTTCCAATCAATTTCCACCTTTTCATCTGCCACCTTTTGTCCGTGGCTTCATTCTTCGAATCCACCTGGACAAGAACCTTGGAAAGAAACCACCCTTGCATGCTGCTCAGAAAAAAACCCACTCTTAGTTCAATTCCATACTCACTTTCACCATTATGAGCTTTGAAGTTAGTCAGAAAATTATGTGTTTCAAAAAGTAAATTGTGGATTTTATTACAGACATTTTTTAAATACCACCTATGCTAACATGAAAATAAGTAGCCTTGTAACTCTATTGACCCCCTAAAAGAGAGATCCCCAGACATTCTTGGTACACAGCACTCTCAGCATCCAGGTAATGGTTTCAGTAGTCCCAGATCGAAAGAAATCCCAACAGGTTCTGGCCTCTCTGGCTCAGTAGGTTCAGTGTCATCCCATGCAGTAAGAGGTAGCTGGTTTGATTCCAGGTCAGGGCACAATGCCTCCATTGCAGGCTCAATGTTTCTCTCTCTCCCTCTCCCTTTCCCTCTCTCTAACATCAATAAGGACATTTTTTTAAAGAAATGACTAATGTGCTCACTTCGGCAGCACATATACTAAAATTGGAACCATACAGAGAGGATTAGCATGGCCCCTGTGCAAGGATGACACGCAAATTTGTGAAGTGTTCCATATTTAAAACAAACAAAAAAGCAAGAAATGACTAACAGTTCCATTTATTAAGTAGTTTAGTTCAACAATTTTATAAATATTTGTATCCTAAAAACTTAGTAGCCAGGTGAAAAAATACTACACATAAATTAAAATTTAAAAATATTTGCATGTCATTCTTAACCACGATTACTTACTAATGGGATGTGTGCATCTGTTGGGCTCTGCACAACCCCTCAAACATAGGAATCAAATTGGAAACCACCCCCCTGTTCCACATGGATTTTTACATGGGATGACTTTTTACACAGCAACCACCGAGAACCCTGCTTTATGCAGCTAGGATGACAGCAAAAGCAATATCGCCAGACTGCTTTCTATAGTGGTTGTACCAGTCTACATTCCCACCAGCAGTCAATGAGGCTTCCCTTTTTTCTACAACCTCTCCAACCCTTGTTATTGAGCTGATGGGAATGGGAAAGGGCATGACTTCAGCAGGTTGGGAGTTGGAGGGAGGTCCTTCCAGGCAGAGAGTACTTATCAGGAGCTGGAAAGAGCCAGGTGGCAGCCGTGTAGAGCAGGTGGCAGGCATGCAAAGCAGTGGGAGCAATGAGTCTGGTACAGGCAGGGCAGGCCTAGACGGATCTCCAGATCCTGCTCCTCAAAGGGCGGTCCTCAGACTACCAGCATCAGTATCCCTAGTAGCTGGTAAGGATTGCCGAACCGCAGGCCCCACGCGACTCACATGCACATTGAAGTTTGTCTTCTACACTGCGTTAAGGATATTGGTCTTTGTCTCTTAAGTCCCTCCTAGTAGCTGGTAAGGATTGCCGAACCTCAGGCCCCACATGCGACTCACATGCACATTGAAGTTTGTCTTCTATACTGCG